TAAAGATGGAAAAACAATACTATTTGTATAAGATATTTTAAAGATGGAAAAACAATACTATTTGTATAAGATATTTTAAAGGTGGAAAAACAAAATCTATATTTTTTTATTTTTTTTCAGTGAAGCTCTACCTGCCCTCACTAATTACCAGAAGAAAAATATCCAGTCAGCTGGTTGGAATAGCCCTCTCGAGATTGCAGGAAATTTAAGAATTCCAGTTACTGGCTATATTAAGGTTATCACTTGTTTTTATTGTTATAATTTGTTTATAAATCAATAGTTATTTATGTACGATGTTGATGAACATTTTTCAACACATTGTTTTTACTTTTCTTTTGGTAAATAATGCTGTTTAATATTATTAGTGTATATAACCACTTTATGATATATATATATATATTTCTTTTGTTTTTATAAAGAAAAAATAATAATTCTTATTCAAAATGTATTAAAAGTGTGGGATTAGAAATCGCTGTTTGGGTTTGTCACGTGCCAGTTACATAGTAAAACATAAAACTATTACAAAAAGAAAGAATTCAAATTAATCCTACGGGAAGTTTACGACAAATTAAAAGAAGAGAGGGGGGGAAAAACTTCATTATGCAAACAATGTGTTAAAATTTAACTATTTTTGAATCCAGTGGATACTTTAGTTACTTTCTGTTTTGACTAATCGTGTGTCATTTGGTACTCAACAGATGGTGAAAAATGGTATTTGTAAGAATAGTGAACCTTGTTAATCTTAATGCATTTGTAACGAAGTATTTCTTCTGGATTGTTGAGACATCTGGATAGTCGAATCAATGACTTTGAATACAGTAGACACTATTAATAAAATGCATTAATGACCAATAAATGTTAGAGTGGTAATGCAATTGGTAAACAGTACACTAAACTATATTGTCAATAATTATATATATTGCAAAGTCAAAGTGGCATTTTATGTCATTACTTTCTCATAAATCAGAAACTTTATTCAATCCAATGACTTACCCATTGAATATATAACACTTGTTTTGCTATCTTTTATAAATATACATCATGTTTTAATGATGCTATGCTTCTTCGGTTTGTAGCCCTACGTCTTGACATTAATGTAGCATAAATCACTCTGATGATCTCTGTTATAGTTTATATATGTATATCCCCTACTGTGAAGGTTGTTCTAATAAAAAGTTTTATTAACTAGTACCCTCTTTGAGTGCAGATGTTTTATGGTCTGTAATTATCACATTATTTCCTGTTCTACTCCAATATTTCTCAACCACCAGTAGGTGGACAGTCATCAATTTGTCGCAATCACCTACCAGTCTGTTGGGTTTCATGAAACAAACAAAAATTTAAAGAATATTCACATGTGGATCATAATGGTTTAGAAAGGCAGTGAACTAGTCCCTGTTATTGAAAAGGTTTAATACACTACTCTATTTGATTCTCGTGGAGTTGTGTACGAATTACTGAATCATGTATCCACAGGGACTGCATATCTGTTATAAGAAATAGCTGTTCAGATTTGGAATGTAAATATGTGACTTATTGATTAAATTTTTTGCTCTGAAGATTTGCCTTCATGAACAATCATTTGGATTGTGAGTAATCCATGTGCTCATATCTGGACCAACAAGTTCATTGTAATAACTTGTGTAATGTTGCCAGTCAGTACCAGTTTCCTTATCTTCATTGATATTTAATGTATATTTTGGCATAATAAATGGTTAATGACTGTAATTAGCAGACTCTTAGATGGGTGAGAAAAATTACAGTTACTAAATATAGATTATTTAATCTCAGTTTTCACTATAGAATCTTCTTTGTCCCAAGTGTAATACATTACCATAGCCCCTTGATACCTTATTCCTCTTTTCCTGGCCCGGCATGGCCAGGTGGTTAGGTTGCTCAACTCGCAATCTGTGGGTCATGGGTTTGAATCCCCATCACACCAAACATGCTCGCCCTTTCAGCTGTAGGGGCATTATAATGTGACAGTCAATCCCACTATTTGTTGGTAAAAGAGTAGCCCAAGAGTTGGCAATGGGTGGTGATGACTAGCTGCCTTCCCTCTAGTTTTACACTGCTAAATTAGGGATGGTTAGCTCACATAGCCCACGTGTAGCTTTGCGCAAAATTCAAAAACAAACACATCCTCTTTTCCCATAGCTTTTGGTAGTTTTCTTCGAATGATGCATTAGTTCAAACTTAACTTTGAAATTGGAGGATGCTCTTTATTATCTTGTGTGATAATAGAATATTTATTTATAGAATTCTCAAAGAGAAAAAAATAAAGTAAATAACAGGAAATGTTTTCTTATACAGGCATCTGAGTTTAAGCTTAAATCATGGAAAACAGCATGTGCTCAGAGGCCAGAAGTTAAAGTTTTGAGGGAAACAACCTACCATATGAATGACGAAGCCCAGACAGAAGTCCCTAAACAAGATACTATACCTGGTAATGACTTTGGTTTTTGTATTTTCTACATATCAGATATTTCTATTTATTTATTCTTTACTATTGCTTTTAATAACTTTTTTATAACTGTGACTTGAAATATTTATTATACATGCCTTCTAGTTGCTTGTGACTTCTTGTTTTTTTTTATCCAGGCTATTTAAGTAATGTTAGAAATAAAGTCTGGATAGATTTCAGTCTGCTGCTTCAGTAAACTTCACTAAAAAAAAATTTTTTTTTTTTGCCTGTGATTCAACAGTAGTAACAATATGAAGACAGTTGCAGTCATGAAAGCAGTCTCAATAATGAATAGTGTTTAAACTCGATTTTATAGCGAGTATGCTTCTGTTCAAAATATGTAGTTTTGTAACGCAATTCATAAAAACACATTTTCAAAAATATTGTAAATTATATGTAACTGTACACAGACGAATATAGCTCTGTTCATCAATAAGACATATTCTTTTTTGTTGGTTACTCCCTCATGTGGTGTATCATAACATCTGTAAGAAAACTGCATTTATTTAAGACTTTTGTCAATGAAGAACATAAACTCCCATTGGCATATTTGTTTAGACATAGTAAGTATAAACTTTATATTACAGAAACAAAAACAGAATTATTAGTATAAACAAAAAACTAGTAGGCAACAAATGTTAAATAGGTATGCAAAGCCTGTGCTATAAGTTACATTTGATGATTAAAACTTGATTAAACCATATTACAAGTATATTACAATTCATGAGAAGCAAACTGTTTTGATGTGTATCATGATCCAAGTGGTTTTATTTCTTATTCCAGCATATCGATATGGGACTACTTTGGTTCCTTTTTCTGAGGAGGATAAAGTTAACATGGAGTATAAGACAGGAGATAAAGGACTGAAGGTTCTAGGCTTTACAAAACAGGACTACGTGAGTTATCAGTTTCAGTCTGTACTCTCTACCACAGGTTGGTTATAAGACTGGAGGATCAAATTTATATTTTTCTAACAATTTATCTTTAAGTTGTTTAAAAAGTATCTGTACGTACATACATACACACACACACACACATATATATAAAGATAATATAGTTACATGTTTTATTGAACTTGCTTGGTGTGATTTTACTTTAAAAGAAAAGTTGATGTTGTAGTTTGCACAGATTACTTCAAATAGAATACTTGAGTAGAATGTTTGTTTCTGACATTAATATAATTGTAGTAATTATAACATGGGAAAATGCTAGTTTCTGACATTGATATAAGGGTAGTAATTATAACATGCATATAAAATTCTTCAAACAATATTTCAAAAATAGGCCTGATGATTCCCATACTGCATAGCTTTTCTGGGAGAAGAAATAAGAAATTATACAATTTTTATATCTAATTCTTCATTACTTGTACAGCTTTAACAGACATCTGGTGTTCAGACGCTATCTTTTAATATTTGAATTTCCTCTGTGGTTGTTATTTGTTGACCTATGTTGTGATTTTAACAGAAATGTAAACTGGAACAAAGAGGAACATTTATTTGCTGGTAAATACTGAAGTAGGTTAACTATTTCATGATTAAATTTTCATGCTCGGTTATACATATTTCAATAAAAGGTTTGGAGCATTATAATATCATCATATAAATAGGTTATTTTTCAATGTTAAGTGAAAAGCCTTTCTAGACTCTTAGCTTTATAAGACAGAAAACTTTTAAGACATTTACCAGATGATGAAAAAGATTGCTCAGTAATAATTTAAATTTACCAGCATGCTCTTCATTTAAGATTGTTTATTTAGTCATTTATAGTTTTATCTTGTATTTGGCTTTTCAGTTTAATAATTGGACTTTGAAATTTTACCTTTGTTATTCTGACATATCACACATACCTCATACTCTATCAGAATATAATTACTTTAAACAATTTTAACTTTGAACTCATGGACTGGAAAATTATGTATATAACAATTTTTTACTCTTGAGAAGTTTCAGGGGAATACAATGTGTAAATCATAGTAGATGAGAAAAACAAAACTTAAAACTGAGTGTCACATCTCAGTTTATTAAAGAATGATAAAACCTACTCTAATTAAAAGCAAAATAGATATTTAAACATTCAAAATTGTTCATGTAATTTGCTAATAGTATGAGAGGGCATAACATAAATATTTTTTACAGAATCGAGAAATTTTATAAGGAATTATTTGAAATTGCTTGTTAAATCATGAGGCATAGGCTGGGTAGCAGAATGTCCAAAAATCTTTGGTGCATTGACTCTAATCCTTCTGGATCGGGCTCATGTGTGAATAATCGAACAAAAATATTTTAATTGAATACCTGGTGGATTTACAGTCATGTACTTCTGTTTCATTATTTCTCTACTGCAGTGAATAAAGACATCATCTCCATCTTAATAAATCTAATGCTGACATTTAATATAGCTCTCAAAAGATAGTTTTTTTCAAATGTATATTTGTATAGCGCTCGGCAAAACTAGCTTTAAATTCAAATAAGATGTTTTGTTGATGATAATATTCTGTAAATTAAAATTAGTTCTATATATATCACAGTTGCCACAATGACAGTTTACTCAAATGTAAGGCTACCATTAGAAAGTTCCTGTTGACTTAACAGTAAAATCTTCATTGTATGTTGTGCATGTATGTGCAGCTAATATGCAACCCCGGTTATAGATACATGACCAAATGTTTAAGACAAGATCTTACAGTCTAATTGTAATATGCATTAAGGTTAGTGTTCTTCCTGTAATAGTTTTGAAACTGTAAAATGTGACATTGATTTGTTTAATAATGGTATTACACTGTAATTGATGCTTTTGTTTTCCGCTGCAAATCTTTTATAATACAAGATTTATGGTTCATTGTGTTTTGTTATCCACTTGCTGACTCGCAGGTCTTTTTCTACAAAGCTGTGATATAAAATATAGATATTAAATATGACTTAAAAGTGTTTGTTGGATTTATTTTGACTGTGACCTGTGTTTGACTTTTGATACACACCAGGTAGGATTGGTAGCTTTCAAATATTTAATCTTGTTTAATGCTTATGCTGCAGGTGTGCTCATTTTGCTTATATTTTTCATTTATTTTCTTATTCTTTTCAATCACATTTGAAGAAATGACTTTTTTGTAGACATTTTCAACATCACTATGCAGATATAATTACTTTATGAAGATATTATTTATGTATATGGTAATATTTCTCTGTACAATTTTTGTTTCCAAAGGAAAATTAATGAAATTTAATTGCCATTGAATTTACTTATTTTAGCCCAAATTGTCATCGATAGAGAAAGTTTTAAGACTGATGATCCTATTGAGATTTTTTTTCTCTTTAGGTTAGACAACATTGGTTGTTGGGAGACAAGACAATGTATATTGTTGGAAAAAAGGACCAGCAGGTAAAAGTTATAACAAAGACTTACTCTTATTTGTTAAAACTTTGTATACTAATCACTAAAGTTAGTAAAACTTAGTTTTTACACAGTAACTGTTGTATTTTTCTAATCTTTAGTAGTCTAGGCAGAAATTGATATTTTATTGGCTCAACTGTGAATCATGTTTCTTTGATTATAGTCTGAGTTGAACTGTTTGTAAATGTTGCTACATTATTTTAGGATTTTTGGTATTCTTGGTTGGAAGGGTCTGTACTTGATGGTATTGTGTTTACCAAGGATATAACCTAATTCATTGGTAGCATTATTATTAGGTTGTGCTTATTTAGAGACTTTCTTTTATATTGGCTCTGTCTTATAGGGTGAAAATATTAGTTCATTGAATGTATGTTTATTTAGCATGCCATTGGTTAGTGCTGATTTTGAGCCTTATTTACTTTAATACTCTATTCTCTGGCAGATGAAGTATTGGAAAAAATCAGAAGAGCTGAGTAAAATAATAATAACTACACTTAATTTAAAAATACACCAGCTTAAAAAACAAACATATGATTTATAAAACTTGCCTAAGTTGGAGTTATTTTCATTTATGTTCAAATGATAGTTTGTCACGTAAAAATTGTTGTTTGGTGCTGCGTTAGAGGTTTGCTTACTGGCTCTGTTTTATATACAAGTTAATAAGTTTATGTATTTTATAGGCTTAAGTCACTAGTCTAAATTATTAATAGAATTTTTTTTCCTCTTGTGTAACACTTTGTTTGTTAACTACATTTTCAGTAGGTTGTAAGATGAGCTACATTTTTATTAAAATGGACCTTGGTTAATACCGATGTTGTTAACAGTATTATTGATTGAAAAGGAATGACATAGCAAACTGTATAGGGTATGTTTTTAACAAAATCAAGTTCATGCTTGCATTGTAGTTTCGTTCACATAACTGACACATTTTCATTAAATGTTATTATGACACAGAATTCTATTCAGCTGTACATAATAATTTAAACTTCTATAAATGCATGTTATGGCTAGCTCTGTAGTTTTAACATACTTATAGCTTCTGGCTGTAATGGATAGGTATATTTGAAACTTCTATTTTTTATTTTATTTTTTAAGAGAAATACTTATTGAACAACTTGATTCAGTCAGCACAGGTAGCTCTTTCGGCCTTCATTCGTGCTCTGTACGAGACAAGTATGGTGGCAATAGTTAGATATGCCTACTCTGCACGAAGTTCTCCAAGGATTGGGTTTCTGTCCCCAAGAATCAAACCTGGCTATGAGGTAACACTAATTGAGTATTATTGATTGATAATTTTGAAAGACGCAATACTTGTGTCTTCTTGTTTTAAAACTTCTTCCAACACACTTCAGTAAAATGCATCTCATCAGTCTTTATTACTAACACTGCATTGTTTAACTGAATAATAATTGATGAGTTGACAGAATTAATCACTAATAACATAAAAATGAAAACAGTAAGCTGATGTTTTTATTACCTCCTCCATCGAAAGTGGACGGAGGTTATGTTTTCACCCCTGTGTGTTTGTCAGCAAGATTTCTCGAAAATGGCTGAATGGATTTGGATGAAAGTTGGTATACATTTGGACTATAGCCCCAAGTGATTAGTGGTTGGAAGGTCAAAGTCAAGAATATCCAAAAAATCCCTATCTGTTAACATGAGGACTGATTTTTCTCACTATTTTTTATCTATAACTCAGTAAAACATTATCAGATTTTGATTAAACTTGGTGGACATATGTAGAATATTATTCCTCATTGTCTTGCCAAAAATGATCTATGTTCATTGATAACGACAGACATATGGACACATTATAGAATTTTTTTAGGGCTGAATATGATCAAAGCTGCACGGCAGAGGTATGTGCTCTACTGAGTGCCTCTCTAGTTTGTGATTAGTGACATTTTTGCATTACTGTTTTAAAGTCTTTCAGTCCAGAATTTAACATCTGACATAATCTATAACACAGGCCTGCGAATTTAAACTTCATAAAAGTTGTTTTGGTTTTAATAACGGATTTTCCATAATTCAGCTATGCAGATTTCGAAAATGATATTCATTTTTTCCATCACGTAAGGATTTTTTACAAATTGGGAAGAAAAAAACTTACTTAGATCAAATTATTATTTCATTTACCAGAATGAACATCTTTTTATTATTATGTTTGTTAACAAATATACAAACAAACTGAAGAAAATGGAAGAACATTGACGTCAAACAAATATGCATATTCATTCAACCTGATTTTTTTTGTGAAATCTACGTCTTTTAGTCTCAAAACTACGTGATGTGGTCTTTCTTTTATAGTTTCCCAGTTGGACAGCGGTAAGTCTTCGGATTTACAACACTAAAATCAGGGGTTCGATTCCCCTCGGTGGACACAGCAGATAGCCCGATGTGGCTTTGCTATAAAAAAACACACACACTTAATTTTTTTGTATTGTGTTATGACGTTTTGTGAAAAATCTGTTTGTGATGGAGAAAAAAGGATATTATTTTCGGATTCAGCAAACAGGAATTACTGTATAACATGTAAACAAGTTCAAGACAATAAAAACATCGAACGCCTGTGTTAACAATAAAACCATTGCAGGCCTATATAATCATTGTCCCTATTGTTGTTTTCAATTAGGTAATTAGAAAGAACATTCTTCGTATTAGTACAAATTTTATCAATTGGAATTACTTTAACAATAAATTTCGCTTGTTTATTGAGGTTCTAAATAGTAAGGTTGCTTTGATGTTATTTCTTTGTTTTAAGTACAACACAACGTTTTGTATAACTAAATGCTTGAAGTTTTGACTAATTATTGACATTTTTTAAAATTCTATGATTTAAAAATAGTTTGTTCTATTTCGTGAAATAAAAAAAATATTAATTTTATTTTACAATATGTCTGAATTCTGAAAAAATCTTCAAAAATTAAACAATTTTTAGAAATCTACGAATATGTAGTTATTTCATTCACTGTTTAACTCGGTATAAAGATTTGAATTAATGTGAAATTATGGTTGTAATTATTGTGCTATATTCAGAAGAAAACTAATTTGACTTAAGTGTAAGATCATATAGAAAACATTTAGGATTACATATTCTTAAATAACCTAATGGTGCAGTGATGTTTGTTTTTTGGCTTAGTTGTTTGATTTTAGAATTAATTATAAATATACTTAAACTTTGTGTTTTATGAACTCGAAATGTTAACTCCCATTTTTGTGAATCTTGTTAACATGACTTAACTTTACTTCATTTTGAAAATTCTGTACTCGAAGACTTATAACTCTTTATGGTAAACATAGATTCTTTTGGCTATAGTGTCTGGTTTTTATCCAACTTCCGTTTATGGAAGACCTCAGACGATTCATATTTGCTCCACTTGACCTTAACAAAAAAAACATACCAACGGGTAAGTGTAAATAAGTGTTATGTATACCTGATCAGGTGATAAGGACTACTCTTGAAATATTTAAAGTTTATCTATTATACTAGTATATTACTTTAAAATTTATATTTATAGTACCAGCAGGTTATGCAGAAGTTTATCTGTAGTACTGATAGATAAATTGAAAGCTTATCTATAGTGCTTGTAGATAATGGAAAAGTTGAGTTTATCCATAATACTGGGAGATAACAAAGTTTCAGTCTTGTCTTAGTTTCTTTTATTTCTTTAAAAACACAAATAAATGCATAAAATAAAGACAAATGCTCAAACAAATATGAATAATCTCTGTTTTTAGCTTTCTTTCTTTAATAATAGAGTATATTATGCTCCTTCACTTTAAATAAAAAATAAGTTGTTGAATTTTCATCAGGAAGGTAATTTTAAGATGAAGATCATTATGGATTTTGTAAGAATGTTTCAGAAAATCTTGCAATCAGTTATTTGCGATGTTTGTTAAAACTTTTGAGAATAATTTTATCATTGAATGGGGGAAAAAACTTGAATATCTCATAATTTATTTTTAGTCAATATTTATTAAATATTTGGTGATAATAAAGATGTTTTAAACATACTTGTTACTGTGATTAATTGTAATATCTGTATAGGCTTTAAACAAAACCTTCCTTCTGTTAAAGCATATAACTGCTGAAAGAAAGATTTGTTGCACCACAAAAAAGAAATCGCTTTTGAAAGTAAATTCTAAAATACATTTTCCAAAAAAGAAAACAAGTGTCTTTTTGTAAATTCTTGTTGAATTTATGATTGAAATCAATTAATGAAGATTTTTACTAAGTATTGGATTGGAAATTTTTATTGACTGTATCTACCTGTTAAGTTGGGGATGGCATTTTAAACTGGTAACACAGGTACCCACCAGGTGAAGACCTGTCCTAACAGTTTGAACCATCATTCTCAACTTAACGGACAAGTACAGATCATAAAAGTTTCCAGTTTAGTGCAATCTTCTCTGTCTTTGATCTTGAAAGTTTTTTTTTTGTAAATTGTTTAAATTTGATTTCAGCTTTGACTTTATAATTGTTTTGTATGTTCTTTGCTTCTGACTAAGGAAAGAAGGAACTGATATATCACAATTTATGTATGTATCAAACACCCATGAACTAGTTCTTACCCATGTTCTTACTTATTTATGGTAAATTACAATATGAAAAATTGCTTTGCTAAAAATATCAATCATGTTAATAATTACACTTATTTTTGATAAATTACAAAATAAAAAAAATGGCCTTTCTGAAAATATTAAGCATGTTAATAATTATAACAGTTTAGTTGTCTGGTTAAATCTATGGATTGTTGTTTTAACCTCTTTTCATTATTTTTTAATACTTCATTAAAAAACTTCCTTATGGATTAGCAATATTAGTTCCTAAGGCAGCTTAAGAAGCTCATTTTAAGTGATTCATTTCCAGCTGATCAGTTAAAAGCAGTCGATGAACTGATCGATTCAATGGACCTCACTACTGCAAATGTGTAAGTTTATTAGTTAATGTTCTTAACACGTAAAATTTTATGTCATCAAAGTACATGAACTTAGCTCATCAAATGAAATATAATGTTCTCTTAATCGTGTGTTTTTACTTTAATAGTGAGCAACTGTTTTATTTCTAATTTATTAATCTGGAATTAAAATGCAGCCTTATGTAATTGGGTTTTTCTTGTTTAAGTTTTGCTGTGTGTGTCAGTTACTGTTTTACAAGATTATTGTGTTGTAAGAAATGTCATTACTTGCATCAGTTGAGGAGTTTGCTACATGAACTGATAAAGTATTCAAAGTAAGTGTAAGGAAGTTATAATTGTATTGGATTTGTCAGTTTCTATATGTAAATTCAATTGTGCTAATTTAATACAACTTTGAGAACTTGTAATTCAACTGATTTTTTTATCAGTTCTCTACTAAACTGACTGTTTTATGGTGACGTGATTTAGACCTAAGCTAGTCTACTAAACTGACCGAACCTAAGGTGTAAGAGTTTTAACCGAAAATGCAGCAAGGATGCTCAACTGAAAAATAGATGTAAAGTTAGTTACAATATATATTTTGTATTTAAATTTTTGCATATATATATATATATATATATTTAGATAAATTATGTATACCTGTACAGGAATGTATATACATATATGCATTTGTAAATAGTAACTTATGTTGTGTAGTTGTATTGTTCTGATGTCTTAACAATTATGCTCTCTATTTTACTGCTTACAATGCTGTAATCTCATTCAGGGGCTATTCTGCTTTTTATAAGATTATGGAATATTACAGATAATAAACATTAAATCCTCCTCGGTGTTTCAATTACTATTTTGGAAGTTTTTAAAATCATTTTATTTATGCAGCTTCTTAGTTTTAGAGAGTCACCTTTTAGAAGAATTACATTCATGTATAAATCAAAATTGCGTATACTGTAGAAAAATAATAGAAGTCTATACAGATTTTTGGAATGTTTAAAAATTTAAGTTTTGTACCATAAACTTTCAAGGAGTATGCTATCTGAAAACAATATATATATATATATATATATATATACTGTGTATTTGGATTGGGTGTGGCCTAGTTTTTAATGTGATTTGACTGTTGATCTGAGGGTTTACGCTTTGCATCCTCTGCATTTCGGGGTCATTGGTGTACTGTAAGTATGATAATCAAATTTCGCTATTCAGGCAAATAAGAACGGGCCAAGAATTGGCAGTGGGCTTATCAGTTCAAAACTGTGGATGACTATGCACAAATATACTTTGTATACTTTGCACAAAATAAAAAATAAAAACGTGTACTAGTGGTAGAACTAGTAAAATGACAATGAAATGCATCATTTGTACAGTTTAGATATATAAAATTATGCCGCCACCTCTGGTGGCTCAGCAGTAAGTTTGAGGGCTTATAACGTAAAAAACTGAGTTTGAATACTCATGGTGGGCACAGCACAAATAGCCCATTGTGTAGCTTTGCACTTAAATGACAAACAAGCACCTAAAATTATGCATACACAGATGTTTAATGGTTATGCATGTGTTTTCAAGGTTTTGTTTTTCTTAGATGAGTGTTAATTGTTAGGTATTACATATATGAAAACCATGTGGAAATATTTTAGATTTGTATATCAGTTTCCAACTTCCAGTTCCTTGTTCTCAGATGTCTCGTAAATTAATGAAAATACTAAAGGAAGAGTAATTAATATCATGATTTCATCAAAATCAGCCCTTGTTTTAATTAAATAAGCCTCTTCCAATTAAAAACTAACTTAGGATATTAAAGAAAGCTAGAAAGGAACTAAAGTAATGCAAAAGTTATTAAAAAATCTCAGATTGCTGAATAACTTTTTTTTTGAAGAAGAAGAAGAAGAAAAATTACAAAATTTAGATGAAAATGTTTTAGGAGAAGCCAGCTTGTTTTAAAAAATTATCATTGATTTTTTTAATATCTGGGGACTCTGCTCTTAAACACCTGGTTATTGCTTTTGTGGACCAGGAAATGTTGGCTCTTGTGTTATTAATGCATGTACCACTTTATTATTCAGTTTTTACTATTTGAAAGCTTAAGTCATTTGATACAATATTTAGTGGAGAGGATGGTGCACGAGAGGAAGCACTGAAAGCTCAAGAAGTTGTTAACCCCTATATTCAAAGACTCTACCAGGTAATTACAGTAATCCTTTATGTACATTACAAGCCAATTAATGTGTAAAACAAAAAGTATAGTAAAGAAGGACTTGCTCATGTATAATGAAAGTGTATATGTTTGTGAGAGATAAAGAAGTTTTTCAGGTGTTGAAGCAGTTTTGATTGAAATCAAGGGTGATTGATATCATGTTTCTATTTTTATGTTTTTTGGGGTAATTATTATGCCCACTTCTGCCTATGAACAGTTAGTGGTAGTGAGATTTGGGATGATATGCATTCCAGCACCCAGATCCTAATCCATTATTGAACTTGTAGCTTGCTTTCGAGTTTTATATGTTTTTTTTTATTACGTCAGGTAGATAGAATATCCCCAATGCTTTTGGGTGCTATGGCCACAGACATTTTTTATTTTAAAATGGCACCATTTGTATAAATGGTATAATTTTACATTTCATTGCAGTTTTGCCAGTATGTACATCTATAATAAATATGTTGTATTTTTACATGTGTTTGTGTAACTAAAACGTGTCTTTGATCAACTTTATTCCAAGGAAATGAAAGTCCAATTTGTCATATGAAATAAGCATCTCCTGAAGTGTTGCTTGAAAAGTAATATAAAATATGTAAAAAAAAACACAATTTAATGCAAGGTTCATTATATTTATTTTAAGTATGTAAACAATTAAGAGACTATAAAAATATAGTTTGTATTATTAACCATTTAAATCTTCAGGCAACTAAATGCACCTACTGTGTTAGAAAAGGATCTAGAATATGTTGTGAAAATGTCGTCATAAGTTAACAAAAACTCATCAATGCATTCACTAAAGTGAGTTTTTAAATGGAGGAAAAAAATGCAGATTTTTGTACATTACATTTGCAAGAAATCCTCCGTAATCTCAAACTTTCAGTTTATTTAATGCTTCGTGACATAACGTCCAGTAGTGTCCTTATAAAACGCAGGTTTAATTTTAGTTTTGTCTGGCATTCACACAGAAAATTACTTCACCAGTAAAATTTTTAATACACTTCCCTTACTTCTCTAATGTAGTCTTTCTAACACAGTTGTAGTTATCATAAATAGTTAGGCTATACTTGGTCTGTTATTTTTTAATTATTTGCATTATGGATCATTCAGACAAAAACACACTTTCCATATTTTATTTCATATTCACACGTTTGGGTAAATTATGATTTAATTTTTTTTTCTTAATTTGATATATCGGTGGTGTCAAAAGCATAAGCAGGTAATGCAAGAAAGTAAAGTTTGTTAGGCCGAAGTAAGGTACAGAAAGTCAAGTTTGACAGCAGGCATTTTTATAACATTTTTTTTACTTGGTCATTAAAAAAAAATATTATATTCTATGTACTTATTACTATATAAGAAGCAAACTTTTAGATATTGTATGAATTTTCCTCTTACTCTACCAATAACTTCCTTATCTTTTGTTCGTAGTTGTTTGTTGTTTTGCAAAACTTTAAAATTATTTGATTATATCGTAACCATAAAGACTTCTTTCATCACTTTTCTTAATGACATATGTGAAATCATAAATTCTTAAAAAGATTTCTCTAATCTTATTAATATAAAAAGACTTGATTTCTCTTGTAAATTGTTGGTTCTCTGTACAACCATAGATTTATTTTCCATATATTTCTTTAAAAAACGTTTTATGTAATAAACAGAATGCACTGTTTTGTTTATCAAATCCTTGTTTAAGTCTATTGATCAATAAACCTTTCTTTATACACAATTCCTATTCATTACTTGCTTTTGAGAGGACTTTAAGTTTCCTCCTGGCCCAGCATGGTCAGGTGGTTAGGGTACTTGACTCACAATCTGTGTGTCGCGTGTTGGAATCCCCGTCACATCAACCATGCTCACCCTTTCAGCCCAAGAGTTAGCAGTGGGTGGTGATGACTAGCTGCCTTCCCTCTAGTCTTACACTGCTAAATTAGGGACAGCTAGCATAGATAGCCCTCGTGTAGCTTTGCACGAAATTCATAACAAACAAACAAATTTTCCTCCACTCATAGCACTCATATAGTAAAGGGTTCTTAATGCTGGAAAATAATGTATAATTTAAATTTCAAACTATTTCCAACTGCTCTTTATTTAATGCCATTAAAGTTGTTTTTGTTTTTTGTAATAGAGTATCCTCTTTTTCACACCAAATTTTTTATATACATTTATTCTTCTGATGCACTTGCTTTCTTGTAATCAAAATTTTATTTGAATATTTCTTAATCTAGGTTTCTCTTTCTTATTCATACTTTATGGTTTAACATAGTTTTTTTAAGAATTTTGAACCTACTTCATATTACCATATATTAAATTCTAATTCTGGAAAAAATCATTATCAGTTCTGATCAATTTTAATTAGCTTATACAATTTTTTTTAATCTCCTATATTTTTAATATAATCAACATTTTAACTATTTTACCAAAATTCTTGTAATTCCCTTCATATCAATTCATTATTTGTATATTCTCCTGAACTTTTTGGCAATTTTATAGTCAATTCGTTAGTGTGGATTGCAGGGTGTCATTGAATAGCTCATTTCCTTGTTGTCGGTAGTTCAAAATTAGGGATGCCAGTAAATAGCCTTATAGCTTTGCCATAAATACAAAGTTTTGAGTGAATATCTAAAAATTTCACTTGATCTTCAGTTTTGTTTTTATTTTTTTCAGTCCAGTTTTTTGCCAACTGATAAATTATTATCATGCATAGTTTATCTAAATCACCAATTTAATGTCTTTCTATATAGCAACAGGATATTAATTTATAATAAGTTAAGAGATTATTAGTTTACAACCAGTAGAAGTCTTGTAATAGTTAACATATGAACAACCAGAGCACAGAGTACTTTGACTAATTCAAGGTTGTTTTTGTTGAGCTGTATTAGTTTTAATGTTATGTTTAAGTTTTATTTATTTGAAGTATTTTAAAAGATATTAGTATTGTTTGCCAAATCAGTTGCACTTCCTATGATTAAAGCTTATTCAAGGTGCGTTTTTTCATAATACTCCTCATTAGAATAATCCTAAAACACAATAAAAGTTCAGAGATACAGCTTTTGAGTGGATTTCCTTTTTTCACTTTATAACAACATTTTGATTGCTTGTGTGGTCGAAACATTGTTATATACGTAAAAAAATAAATAACTAATCTACTCAAAAGGTGTATCAGGACTTTTATTTGGAGTATACAGTGTATTTCCTCTCCTTACAACAAATCCTAATACACATTTTTCTGTTTTTCAATATCAAAGTATATGCAATAAAATGTTATTATCTTTGCATTTATTAAATAATTTTACAAAATTTAATTTAATTGGGTTTTCAGCCAATTAATAATAAAACTTTTTTATATATATTTTACAGCTGTTCCACTAAAGGACTTTACAATAATACTAAAAAGAAATTACTAAATCAAGTACTTCTACGTATCTAAAGTTGTTATGTTAGATGAAACAAAAGAACAATTTCTACCTCCTCAGCTGGTTCTAGCACCACTTTCAGACGTTCTGGGACCTCAGGAAGAGGTTCTTCAGGATGAAACACACGATGTTGCATGCACTAAAGTACAAACCAAATAAATGTTTTAACACAGGGGGAGTTCACTTTACTATTATATAAATTAAAAAAATGAAAACAAATAAATAATATTGAACTATTTCTTATCATATACATCAAATAAAGGCTTTACATGTAATAAAATCTTACAACTTACATTGACTAAGACAGATTTACTATTTATAAACAATTTTCTCAAAGGAGGATGAAATCTTCCTCTAAATCAGAAGAGACAAAAATCCTTTTTTAAACCTAGAAACAACATCTCTAATAGGTTTCAAAGGGTTTATCTAGCATTCAGATTTACAATGAGATAACAAAAAAAATCTAGGGATTTACAAAGCTAAAATCAGGGGTTCAATTCCCCTTGGGGGACACAGCAGATAATCCATCATGACTTTGCTATAAATTAATATGTACATATTATTGTGAAGTTCTTTGGTGGAACAGCTGTAAGTCTAGGGATTTACAAAGCTAAAATCAGGGGTTCAATTCCCCTTGGGGGACACAGCAGATAACCCAGTATGACTTTGCTATAAAATAACATAACCATATTATTGTGAAATGTATGTTTTATGCTATGAGTTATAAATTTATTTTACTATTACATGTGTTTTAAAGAAAATTATTTTCATTTTCTGATGTAATGAAAGCTTTGTTTCGTGGCTGTGCCTGAAGCTGTTTTCTTGTGTGCTTAGTATTTAAATGAAAATATGGTTCATAATTGTGAGAGTTCTCAGTCCTGATTGTTGACCTTCAAAGCTTATTGTTATTTACAATTTCAATTCTCATAACTTTCCTGGTCTTCTTTGTATATTTCCTTCTTAAAATATTCCCTATGTTTTTAAGAAGTTCACACTAATGAATAATTGATCGTTAAAATAGAGCAGATTAATAATCATATGCATTGGAAGTGTATGATACCAAGCTTGGATACTCTAGTTGACACCTAGGAGAAGGAGGTTAATTAGAAGTATGACCCATACTACTTATACATGTTTTGTTGTGTTCTGATCACTAAGAAAAGAGCACGGGATGCAAAAGGCAGAACTGACAATTACAATAGCTCCCATGAAAATTTTTTTGTGAACATTATAAAGCTTTCACAGTGCCTATTTTGTTGTGTTCTGATCACTAAGAAAAGAGTACGAGATGCAAAAGGCAGAACTGACAATTACAATAGCTCCCATGAAAAATTTTTTGTGGACATTATAAAACTTTCACAGTGCCTACTGTGCAGTGAGACTCGTTTATTTTTTGTAGTTTACTGTTCATATTGTCACTTTATGGTCATGCAAAGATAATCTGTTTATTACGGTAGAACATGATACTCATATAATTTCAATAGCTGTACTAATAGAAGAAAGAATTAAACATTTCTCGCCACCTAAGCACGATGTTATGATAAAGTGGATGATGTGTTTATCGGAAGGACTAAGCATAGAAACTAATATTTACTGCAAGACTAGTACAATGAAAGTTCAACAGTAGTAATTACCTTCTTTGTGAAAATCATCCTTAAAACAAATTCATGGCATGTTGTTTTATTAGTATTTTGTGTAAAATCTGTTGCTTATTTCTGTTGTTATGTGATTTTTAATTGTTTATGGTTATTTGGTAACTAGAAGAGTAATTTTTTTCTACAACTTCTTAGCTTGTCGATCTTGCTGCACCAGTTCTAGAAAAAGTAAGGGGCTTATTTCCTCTCGAGAAGTTGATGACAAAGAAGTCTGTGGAAACAGGGGCAGATATTTTTCAGAATGGGTATATTTATTCAAAGCTGTTTTTTTTTATTTTAGCTTGTTTGTTTTTCAAAATAAGTGAGGTTTTGTGAGTAAAAAAAAACACCTAAAAATTCTGTTCATTTCCTTTGTTTTCGAAATTTATCTGTTAGGACAATAGTGTTGGAAAATATTATTTTATATATATTTTCAGAATTTCTGTATCTAACCAGATAGCATGAATTAGAGAAGCTCAAGGTTTAGGTTTTTGGTAAAGATATATCATATTTGTTTTGTCATTTAGACCATTCTGAGCTCTTCAAGAAAGTTAAAACATTGTCTCAAACAACTGCAAAATCATTCTTTGTTGAGCAACATCATTTTGATTTTCAACTTGTATCTTAAACTTTCGAAAAAGTAAATACTGACATTAATTATGTTTAAACAATTACAGGTAGTTTCTGTGTCATCAGGATTATATAATATGAGCCAGAAGCATTTCCAGTCTTTATTTACTAAGTAAACTTTATATGACTAGAGCAGACAGCCATCATTACATTCACAGTGACTTCCTCCTGACATACTCTTTGTTTAATCTGGTGAAGAATAAAGATAATAGTGCACATGTATATAATCCACTTGTTTTAATGTTTTCCTATCTTTATTTAATGGGGACACATGTGTCTATATGGGGGAAACACTTATGGTAAAATTGAACATTCTACCATAAAATAGTATTTATATTTTAGGGAATTTATAATAATATATAATACATTTTGTGTTTTATATCTTGTCATTATGAAAATAATCTACAAAGTGATAAAGCTGGTGGTGATGAACCTAAAAAGAAAAAAACAAAAGCTGACGGAGAACTCGAGGGTGGGCTGGCCAAACAAATGGAAGACTCTGTGTCCGAGGTCAGTTGAAAATATTTTATCACTTATTAAAACATTTTTCAGAAATAATTAATGTTCAACATATGACTTTGTTACTTGAGTTTTTCAAATCTTTTGGTGAATGG